GTGGGGTCCATCTTCTTTTCTCAACTTCAAGCTTATATCGTTAAACCTCATGGATGTAATTTCAAATCTGTGTAAGTTTTCTTCATTCTGTTACAAAGCTCCTGAATATAGTAAGTAAGTGATCTATTTATATCAAACGGCAGGCTTTATGATAGTTATCATTAGCCCTTAAGTTGACTTCGGCCTTCATATAGGCGAAGACCAGTCAATGTCACAAAAGTCGAGAAGGAGAACTGAAGAGTGGCTCACAGATGTAAAAGAGACAGACAGACACAAAGGTAGAGAAAAAGGTAAGGTGAGTACTGTGGGAGCGGTCGAATATGACATACAGTGGGGTCATGATGGTTTGAAGTCAACTGCCGGTTTATGGACTTTTTTGCCATATGGGTATACATAGGCCAGGGTGCACCAAGTAGAGGTAAGTCTATCGCGCACCCCGAAGGGTGATTTAGTAAGAGCATTATAATCCCATAAATTTTCTGGAATTACTCTAAGTTTGGCGAGTAGAGTTCTTTTATATACATAAAAATCAGAGTAATCTCAAAAGAACTCTCGCTAAAATCTCAATGGCTTCCTTGACAATTTCATCAGAATAAATCACACGGTTATTCATGAGAACAATGTGAATCAGTTAGCTCTTCAACTAGTGATGACTAGACAAGCTGAGTTGAGGCTTAAAATTCCTTTTCATGATGAACAAAGTGCTCACTTAATGGTCTGAATTCACCTATAGTTTCTTTGTCGTTTTAGTAATGCTACAAACTGCGAGGCGTCAAATAAAGTCCCCTCTCTATTTATGATTAGTGGATCCATCATTTTTGCAATTCAAATGCTGGGAACAATGCTAATGTGCAAAAAACAGGTAACACAATAATAAAAACTAAAAAACGTTGTGTTTCTGCCGATTCTATGTGATTGATGAATGGTGTTCTCTCAATTTAGAGCAATGAATTCGATCACGGCAGTGAATATAAGAATGGAGACATTGAGTTGTACGTGGTAACTTACACGTGTTGCTTTTCTTACTATTTGTTTCAACTAATTCATTTTGGGAAAAGTCAATTACTTTATTTAAACTCTCCATTTCGTCATATGAGGGCATATTTCTTTCTGACAAATGCATTGACCTTATTGCCCACGTATGATATACAGTGGCATAAAATCACTTCAATTATAATAAAATTATCATTGGGTTGACAAAGTTAGATATCAACAGAGTTATATGAGGCTCGATTTGTTGAAAATTAAGATACTAACTGGAAGAATTTTAATGGATCCAAAATTTGAGGATTCATTAGATGAAGACAGAAATTAATTGTGGAATTTATTTCCAAATGTTTGGAAATTTCTATATAGATGATAGTTTTTTTCCATTTAATTGATTACAAATTATAAGTTGTTTGGCAATTATTATTAGGGCCCCGATATACTTTCAAAAATTTTGAAAACAGGAAAAGTAGTTGCCAAGTCTGGCAGATGGTGGGAACTAGACAGCATCGAATGACCATAATATGTTATCATCTTTCCTAAATCCGAATGTCAATGCTAGAAATGAAGGAGAACAGGACGTCGGCGCTAATGGTATGAATGACACAGATAGATCAGCTGAGTTTGAAAAGTAGAGGAAAGTGAAAAATGACATTGGATCTGTAGGTGAGATATGTTTGGAGAGGGGTGAAACGAAGCGGTGAAATCGTTAGACCTAATCTCTCGAGAGTAAAAATAATTTTTATAAAGTACCTCTAACCCTTTAAAGTCCTTAGGACCGTAGGATCCTCTTTCTAAATAGACTCTCTTGGTATTAGACTCGTTACAGAAGGGTCTATGGCCGTTTTAAACATGCTCAATACGTCTATAGTCTTCGCCTGATGCACCACCAAACGTCATCCTTTCGGCATCATCAGTCTGCTGTGAGACACGCGTGAGTGCCGCTGGGTGAATTTTTTCAAAAAATTAAATCGGGAATGTAGAGGTAGAGGAGTCAGTAGAATGACTGAGAGAATGCGATTTTTGAATGATATTCTTACTCATTGGCCAGCTTATTCCCATTATTATAGTCAATCACAATCATCTCATTCTTTGGAGTGAAAATGATTACCCTTTCTATTTAGAGCACTTAATCAGTTTAATAAAATCGATCCAATCGTTTTAATTAAAGGTTAAATATTACATTCTGTTCCGGGCGAAATTTCCCAAGCACTGTCTTCTGAATAATTCGAATTATTTTGCTGGGTGATCTCATTTGCACTCTACGTGTGATTTTGCGCAATGATAGCCACACACAATTTCATTTGTGCACTATGTAGATAAGGTGCAATCTATCTTTAGTTTACTGGGGTGTGCGATAGACTTACCTCCATGTGGTGCACCCTGGGCAACGTATATTCATACGGCAAAAAAGTCTATTAAATGGGAGTTGACTTCTCACTTCAAACTACCCTCACCCCATTGTATGTTATATTCGACTACTTCCACAGTACTCATCTCACCTTTTTTCTACCTTCGTCTTTGAAGCACTCTTCTGTTCCCCCCCCCTCTCTCTGTGGAGCCTGAAGTCGACTAAAGGGCTAGTGATAACTATCAGAACGCCTGCCATTTGATATAAATAAATCTTTAGTTTACTTTGTATTTACTAGGCATTCCGACACCACAGCAACCCCGATTGTGAACCCTCGTGATCTCATTTGCAATAAAGCCTTCATCATCTTGTGGTTGATTCAGCTCTTTGAAACCTTCCCAACTACAACTTTGCTCTCCGTATACAAGGTAAGACGGATTCTTTCGATACCTACCTTTTACGAAAGTAGCCTAAATTTGGCGGGTCGAAGGCCTTTGGCGTAAATGTTCCCTACAAAATAAAAGTGGAGATTGGGCTAATTAGCATTCAAGTACACTCATGCCTTCATTACTAATTACTCTTTGTGTTACTCAAGTGCATCATTCTAATTTGCTTCCCTATACTTAGGAAATTGGAACAACTACGGTGCAGGGTTCAGTTTTCATTAATTTAACCAGCGAATCTTCTACTGCGTTTCTTCTTGCCGGTTTTATTCTTTGGAGCTTTTTGGCCGATAAAATTTCTTATAAGGTATGAATATACTTGATAAATTTTGGTGCTTTATGCTAATCTTGAATTATTTTTATAATATCTGTTGAGAAAACTGTAAAATACCCCCCTTGTTCGGGCAGTGGAACTATTTTTCCCACGCCTGATTAAATATTCCCTTTGAGCTAATGCTACTTAAATGTTAAATTCAATTAGGTGGAACAAAATTGTATTTCCCTTTTTTACCTTTAGATTCCACTCTTGAGCGTAATGCTGATATGGATCATTTGCCTCGTTTCGACATCTCAATGCTTGCAATCTCCACAGGTCAAGTTCTTCTATGCGTCACTAGTGTTTATTTGAGCCCTATGTATTTCCGGCTATAAAGTGCTTCTATACATTGCAACCGCAAGAGCATTCGGCGTCAAGTACTTGAGTATCAACTTCCCTTGTGTTTACACGGCATCGGTAGGTGCTGATCAATAAAATTAGGTCTGACTTACCTTGACCCAGAAGACAGAGAATAGGCAAATGTAAATGTGACACTTTCGTACAAGCTTGTATGGAGTAAAGACAGCGCCTCAGCAATTCGCTTGATATGAAATTTGACAATCTCTGTGATAATATTAACAACTTTGCCCCCAAACGCAGTCTTCTGCTCTTTCGAAAAGAGTTAATCTATGCAATTGTTACTTCCAAAAATCATCAGGTCCATGTTAAGAAAATTATCAGCAAATTCCTAAAGGCAACATTTTTGTTTCGTGAACTCTGTAAGGTCAAAAGCATTTTTGTTCACCTAAAAATGGGTGCTCATGACGGACAAAAAAGTTTAAATCACCCCTACATCCACTCATAATTAGCAAATTTACTTAAGTTTTCCGGAACGAGCAAGATTTTACCATTTTTTAGATTCAGTGGATTTGGAAAATTTCCAGGGGACTTAGGTATGGCTCCAAAAAAGTTGTCCGGAATAAAGCACTGCTGTTTAGCAACCTTCTTTTTCTTTCAGTTGACAATTTTAAGTTTTTTTGCGCTTGAATTGCTCGCCTATATTGCAATGAATAAAGCTTATTTGCGCCTTGCCAAGGATAATAATGCGAATATTTGTCTCTTATCGCTCATTTTAGATTTTCGGACGAATTGCGAGCAGCTACTATACTGCATACCACCCTTTTGACAATAGACCCGATTTCGTTCTCTACATTTGCGCATCTTTGAACACAGCTGGTGAATTTCTTCCACTTGCTATCTTTACGAAGTATTAATGCTTGAAGTAAATTATTTTCTTTTATTCAGCTTTAATTATCGGAATATTCCTACCGGACAAAGGAAATAAATGCTGTCAATCGAAGGCGCGGGAATTGGAGGAAACCAGTGAGATCGAATTATCCAAGACTTTCACTGACGAATGATAAATTTTGCTATTTACTACTTTAAACCCATCAGGATACCTCTTTTTCCATAATTTACCCGTTGCTAAAAAAACGGACTTTTCAGTTGGTTGTAAGCATTTAAAGTTGTTCCCTTCTGTCAAAATTACGATGGAGTGTTAGTGTTTGAATTACATTTGCTCTCTCCTTCAATATGCTATCTTCTGATTACTCTATTATTTAGGCCAAATTGTGCTAAAGAATGTATAATCATTTTCTATCGGACTTAAATCCAATATGCTGTTAACACGTCTTCCCCACTATTTGGCTCTAGATACACATATGATGGTTGAAATCTGAGGGAACTCAGAAAGGCGATTCAAGACGTCACTAGGAAATTCAAGTATGCGGATCATGCAGACCTCTTCTCACTTAAATTTATTGATATCTGAAAAAAATCACATCTTCTGAAATCTGATCCTATTCGGACTTTGTACCCCTTCTTTAGTTTCTGAGTCAAGATCAGCAATGGTGTTATTACATTATCTAAGTCCAATTTTGGTTGATGAAAGCCTCCAAGATGACTCAAACTGACCCACTTATCTAAGCCTCTCTTCCCCTCAAGAATATGAATATCTTAGAGCATATTTATGAATCCCAATTAGTCATTGATATCTAAATTTATCAACTTGGGCGAAAAGGCGTATGATTGTTTGTGGTAAAGTACTCTTGATTGGATTTACATGAAGAGAGAAATGACATTTCGTGATTCGTTTATCCCACAAAACTGGCGTAATTGCTTAATTTTTTAAGTAATTCAAAATAAAAAGTATACAATTAATAACATTTGTTATTTTGGCTCACAAATATAGAATGAGTGTAATGTAAGTAAATGTTAAATAATTAATTCCTCTTAAGTCGTTATAACCTAATAGTTCCTTAATTTCACAAATAAAAAAACATTTAGACATTCACTAAAATTTGTTCTTATCATTTACTACTTTGTACTTAGTATTTTAATGAGACATCATGAGACGTCGCCTGAATCGTTTTTTCCTAGATAATTTCGCACTATTCAGAAACAAAGACAAACTCAAAAAGTAACCATAAAATTATATTTTCAATCAAACTAATAAAAAATGGGCAATAAAATTACTAATTCTGACTTCATGTGTTGAGTAAACTAGTTGCGTATGTCAGACAGTCAATTAGAAGTTATTGAATGCACTTTCTCTTTATCACCATCCAAAATGTATGCATTACAAATTAACTACTTTATTCAAGGTTCTAATGGATACAGTCACGAGTAAATGCTTTTTATAAGCTTTAATGCGAGGGACTTAAAAAGGCGAGTAAAGGGCAGTGCATTTGATAATTACATTTTTAAATTTGAGTAGAGATTGCCACTTAATGCACTAAAAACGGCCCAATGGTCTAAATTTGCCGAAAGAATGTTGAAAACTTATTACCAGATTGTGCAAGATCTGATCTTGGTATAAAGTTAAATCTAAAATAGTAGAAGGAAGAATCTGTCGAAGCGTGAACTACTCACATTAAAAATTTAAAAAGGCTAAAAATTGCTAAAAAATAGAAGTTAGTGTATTAACCACTTATCTACTTAATTACTTCAATATTCAAATGAACGAGAATATTGCAGGATCTCTGCTAACGAATTTTATTGCTTCATATGATCGCATTTTATAGAGAAGATTTTCAAAATTTAAATGCTAAAGGAAAAAAGTTAAAATATTTCATTCGAACACTCTTACTCTTTCATGTACTTACAGACATTTGTCATAAAAGAAACCAATTGTCACTTAGATTTGAACTTAGGAGGATTAGATGTATAAGGTATCCGATTTATAATCAATAGTATAACGAAAAAAGTTGGATGAATCATCTGTATTTGGCTTACAAATTGTCAGATTTTAATGCGCTCACCTAATTATTTGGATTTACTATCACACACATGTGTGGTGACTTGGTATTTTTCAATCTGCCAATTAATTAATCTCGATAAAATTTGATTCTCGCCTAGATTTTGACAAGTGTTGAAAGCCATTAGAACATATTAACTCTACAAATAAGGAAAGAAGCATTTATTACTATTTAATTAAAAGTTTAACACTGGTACTTTCATTGTTATTTGCTACAACTGTCTTATGGTTTATTTAATTAATCTAGCGTGACTCACCTATAGTGAAAAAATATCCTAACTATTTATAAATCATGAAATATTCAGAATTATTTGCATTCGGTTTTTTACTTAAAATGTCTAAATAGATGAGAGGAGAGTGAATCGGTATTGTATTGTGCACGATCAACCATCATCTCTATGCGGGTGTATAGTTAAAAAAAAGAACAAATTCCATACATAAAAATAATTCTAAGTTTAAGTCAAGTGATTAATGGAATTAGTGAATGCAGTCTATTTTTAAGAAACGAAGCCACATACTCAAGTAGCAATTTTGCTTGGAAAGCGTAGTTAAGGCGGGAATACAACAAATAGAAAGAAATACCAAGAAACCTCATTTATCAATAGCGTCATATCCACTTATTGGGCGAAATAGCTTGAACCTGGCCGCCAAAAGAGCTAATCCAAGGGAACAGATTAGGAAATTTCCTAGGAACACCAAGTAGGCATATTCCACAAATATTCCACCCTCCAGTGGTCCCAGAAGGAAAGCCAAATTGCTAACACATCGAAGATAGGAGAGGGATCGGTCAAGGTCATTTGCGGGTACCATTTTAGTGTAGAGGGACTCCGTAACAGCCAGTGCCAGTGGCATGCCAATGACATGAAATGCGATACCAAGAATAATCAGTATGATTCCCAGCTCTTCAGAAACTTGTCTTATGTACGCAGTAGTGAAGATAAGCCAGAGGTAGGCACAAACCAGTAAAACGAATCCGACTAAGGCAAGAATTCTGTCCTCAATGTGTTGCGAGAGACAGTGAAGAATAATACACATGATAATAAGCAATCCACTGGCCCCTAGGTATACATAGCTCACATTTACTTCATCCCAATGGAAGTAAGTTGACGCCACTGGGGATAAGACAGTTTCCAGACTCATAACACAGAAGTAGGTTGCAAATATCATAATATACATGGAGACAACCGGATAAATTGTGTAAGGCTTCAGTTCCTCACAAGGACAACAACCACTCTTTTTTTCGCCGGGTTCCATCAACTTCTCCTTTTCAGGGTTTATGCTGGAACTTGTACCATGATAGAAACCTGTCTTTTGAGATTTCTCGACAGATGGGTAGAAAAAAATAACCAAAAGTGTATGCATTACCCAAAGGCCGGCCATTAGCAGCCCAGGTCCATTATAAACACTTAGACTGAAGTCACCTACTGTCCACTTGAGCTTATGCATTAATAGAGTGCACACCGGTCCGAATACAATTCCAATCTGCTTAGCAACGTAAGTCACCGTCATGTAGGGGGTACGCTCCTTAACCGAAGTAGTTCGTGCCATATCTGCGTACATTGGAGTATCACAACTTCCACCAATACCAGAGATAAATCGACCAGCGAGTACAACCCACGGTTGTTGGGCCACAAGGTAGGCAAGGTTACCAAGAACTTCAATTAAATTAGAAAATATGAGTAGATACTTTGTTCGAATTCCATTATGTGCAGCATAACCAAAGATCGGTGTGAAAATAAGCACAGAGAGATTGAAAGAAGCCATAGTCCAACCGTACCATTTCCTGGCCGCATCGGCATTCCAATAAGTGGTAAAATAAAGCCACATCGTGGGTAGAATGATAGCCCTTTCAACGTTGGTTAGAAAGCCCCATAGAGCGGTGAGAACAGTGATTGGAATTTTGGAGGGAATTGTTTTACTACATCCACAGCCATTGCAAACAGTACAGCACTTAGTTCGCTGTTCGGCATTTTCATGAGGTGGTTCACTCGAGAAGGGCGTATAAGGAGGTGGTTCCTTTTCACTCATCTTGTCTGCTTACTGTGCATTCAGATAGGCGACTATGTGAGCGCTGTTCTTGCCTCGACTCCACCACAACCTGTGCGCACCCACCTTGTCAATATGCACTCACGTGTGATCTGATTGGCTGAGTGCTGCTAACCGTGTGTTTTGTGAGGCGATTGGTGCGTAAGCTCAAACAAATGACTTTTTGTAAGAATTTGCAGTTTTTGGTAAATTATTTTTGCGTTAGCCTTTTGGTGATCCAACTGACTCATGCCAATTTATTGATATTTTGAAATATGTGAAATATTTGGTAAACGGGTCAACGATTTGGGTAATTATGTTAAATGTATAATACGCAAATAACCTTGCAGAACCTTGAAAAGCTTGATAAGGAGCTATTAACTAAGAAATGGAAATTTGAATTATCTAAGGAGACAATAGTTTTGACGCTTAAAACAATCGAAAGATCGACTAAAGTAAAGCTTTTAAAATATCTGTCTCGCCTAAATGCTGCTAATCCATGGCTTAAATCTATTTGCAGCTCAAAAATCAAATCATTAAATTTTTTATAATCTCAAAAAGATAGGAAATTGAAATCTAATCCTTTTACTTCTAATGTCTTATGATTTTTTTCCATTTCTTGAGTAACAACTATTCAAACTTTCCTTAAACTTCCACAACGATTTTTCCATCATATGTGTCAAAAATTTATGCATAATCTTAGGGTGGTTTGCATTTACAACAAACATAAATCTAGCTTAAAAGAGGGTTCATTTAACTCGAGCAATAAAATAAGGCATGGAGAAATAAAACGATTTAATATCTGACAAATTCTCATTGAAACTACTGATCGGTAACTTTTGGATAGAATTTAAAATCTTAAGATTGGTAGGAAAGATAACGAATATTTTTCAGAGCGTACCAGGAGCGCAGTTAACGTAATCGTCATATTCTGGCACGATTATTGGTCCGTCTTCTGACCAATCGCACAACTGACACTTTTTAATTCAGTCTGTTAATTAGTTCATTCTTCTTATTAGCTATTTAGTTGACTTCAGGTTTCACAGAGAGGAAGGAACACCAAAGTGAAAAAAGTAGAGAGTGGGGGGGGGGACAGTAGAGTGTTTCAAACATGAAGAAGAGACTGACACAAAGGTAGAAAAAAGGTGAGGTGAGTACTGTGAAGTTGTCGAATACGACATACAATGGAATGATGGCTGTTTGAAGTTAGAAGTCAACTGCCAGTTAATAGACTTTTTTGCCGTATGAGTATACTTTGACCAGGGTGCACCACGTGGAGGTAAGTCTATCTAATATAGACTAATATAGATTATTAATTATATCAATAGAAGCCTGGTCAACAGACTAGTCTTGTAAGGCTTAATCTTTCTCCTTCTGGGGTCTGAACAACGTTAACTACTCTAACAGTTTCTTGACATTTTGAGAAAACTACAAGCATACATTCTTCTCCGATAATACAGTAAGTAATCGACCACGTTACGCCACCAGTGCGCCATTCCAATCGTAAAGCCTCCTTTACATTAAGTATTGAGTTGTCCAGTTTTTAGCAACCTGTTTAATTTTTTCCAAGTTAGTTAAATCCTGTACACATATCACTTGTTCCGTTTACCACCTTCAAGACGGACCACTTCTTTGTCCTCTTTTAATACAGCCATTTAAGTCATAAGCTCCCCCCCCCCCTTCACCTCTCAATAACCTTCACGTGGTCAAGTTTTCTCAAGCCAACATTGGTGATTGATAAATAGTAATTTCTTTCAAAAAAGACTTGGCTTCTACTAGTAGTCCCTTCTATCAACTCCTTGTAGACCAACTCATCAAAACTAACTACGACCGACATCTAACGCAGAAAACTTGATTCATGCTTAAATTTTGTATATATTTCGGTAGGATTCACAGTGAGTGGCTATAAAAATTATTGACAGATAATCCAAGTCAATCACTCAAACGGTAAGTGATTGGGGATGAAGAATGACGAAAAGAAAAATTTGACATAATTAAGAGGGGACAATAGTGACTATGACGTGTATTTGAATCTGATTTTGGGTTGAAGTGGAATACCTGAAGTGAGATAAGATTGAAGTGGAGGAAGAAGAGACGTGCGTCATCGAACAACCGGAAAACCTTAATGATGGTTCATTTGTCGCAGAACATCCTTCTTTGTAATTATACCCAATAGGCGTCTAAAAGAAAGAGAGAGAATAACTTTGGTGAGGATTTGATTTGTACCTTTTAAAGTAAAATCCCTACGAGACCCGCCAGCTCCTATTCGTCTTCCCGAAAAATGGGTGACTAAAATCTGATCGGAAAGATCGTATATTTCTAGGTTCTCTTAGATCGTAAAAGGTCCGATTGGCGCTATCTAATACTGACTAACCCATGTGATGAACGACTTCTTATTCCCCTGGTATCATACTCAAATTTCCAATTATATGACAGCATGACGATAAATATGAAAAGAGCAGAGCATCGAAAGTGGCAAGACGGAAAAACAATTGGACATAGAAAAGTCAGGTGATTGTCCAAAGCACCACATTCATAGAATGGATTTTATAGGGTGTATTCGTGAGTAATTGTTATTTAGAAATAGGTAAAAGTGTACAGAATTCGTATGACATTTTGCCATAATCAATCAGAGGCACTAACGAGAAACTTGAAAAGTAACGATGACACATTCTATTAATTTAAGGCCTGTAGCCTAGCGACACTCACTTATCTACCCTACAGGATAAAAAACTATTTGACGTGACAAGACTGACCGTCATAAATAAACGTTTCCTTTGTTTCTAATAGTATAGCAAAGGTACATATATCTCAACAATGCCCCATTCCTTTTCTTAATAACTAATTTAGGAACGTGGGGTGCGCGATAGACTTATCTCCACTTGGTGCAACCTTGGTAACTTATACTCATACCGGCAGTTGACTCCTGAATTCGAACTACAATAACCCCACTGTATATCATATTGGACCACTGTCACAGTACTCATCTCACCTTACCTCCTTACCTTTGTGTCTGTCGGTACTTTTACATCTCTGAAACAATCTTCTGTTCCTCCTCCCCTCTGTGAACCCCGAAGTCAACTAAAGGGCTAATCATGAAGCCTGCCATTTGATTTAAGTAAATTTACAAAATGCGACTGCTTTATCACTTTCGTCTAGTATCATAATTAGTGGTTAATTAACTTCCATTGGCCATCTAATGGGCAGTCTATAAAGTGTGTTTAAAAAACACATGAAGCATCAGTTCTTGCAGAAGAGTGGGTGGCGATGGTGGCACAGTCAGACAAGTTGAAGTTGTAATTGAAAGGTGGTGATTAACAGGCGTCACTCTATATTGCGCAATCCACCATCAAACCAATTCCAGATATTTAGGGCATGCACTATAATATTGAATACTTAAATTCAAACTAAGCGAAACTTTTCGTGAATTGTGTTGGAATGCTAAAACTGCTAAAATTAATTGACGCTAGTTTATAAGAAACATTTTAGCGGGAAGTTAGAAAATGTACTGTTTTTGGTGCAGTTTTATGACATGAAGGTCGATTTAAAGAGAGGATAGAGGGAGAGACTGTTAAGTTTGCATACGTCACAATAAATTGATAGACAAACTACCTTTAAGAAATCTACTAAAATCCGCATATAAGCATAATGTCTCATATTGACCTGAGCGAGTGACATTAGTTTAAGAAGACTTTTAAATTGGGTCATGAATTTTGGATAGTACACTTGGAATGGGCTAATATAATTAAAGAAATAAGCCTTAGTAACCGACGGTAGAACCAATTCAAGAGCAATGAACCCACCACCAGAAAATAGAGGTCCCTGCGAATTCCCGAGTGCCAACGACAACTAATTTTTATAAATCTAAACATTGTCAACTTACCCATTTTTGGTGACAAGAACCTGCCTAAGACCTAGTTTCCGGAAGAAGTCAAGAACAGTCTCCATGGGTGTCTGATCCGTGACAGTTATGGGTGACTGAAGAAGTAGAAAGGGAATTAATTAACCAGTTACGAAATGAAGTACCAGTAGATAACAACATTCTAGAGACGGTTATTACTAAATCTACAATAGTTGAAAGATTTGCAACATTAGTAGGCAGACCGAAATCTCCAGCACTATTACTGTCTGTGAAGTAGACCATTGAATCAGTTGCCACATCCGGATTGTACAGTTTTTCTTGTTCTAAAATGGCAATAAATTGCGGTTAACTATCAGAACGAGCGGCAATATTGACTTATATGGGAATGAAAGCTAACCGAGAGCTCGGGTCAAATCTCTTCGGGTTATCCATCCAACTAGGTACTGTGATTCCTCGGAAACCACAACAGGGAATCCCTTATAGGTGGATGAGGATAATAAGAACTCTATATCCCCAACAGTCATCGAGTTTTGAGTTACTACCAAAAGCGGTGAAGTCTGGGTTCTATAAAGTGGAGATAAAATTTTAATTTGCCGCAAATGAACAGAGAATGCTATTCCATGAACAACGACTTACTTTGGCTGCATAACATCGGCCGCAATAGATGTGTGCATAAGCTCTTCACGGCTACTTAAATAGGGATACTTATTCAAACGAATGTGTTCTTCGTAGATGCTACCATTAGTAAGACGGTCACCGGTCCATTTGCTCACCATGGCAGCTACCATTAGCGGAAGAATGTATGTCAATCTGAAGGGAAATGGAAAGTCAAATAGTGTCCGAAGAAATGAACTACAGGATAGGCAACTGCACACTTACCCTCCAGTGAGTTCTAACATTATGACGACAAGAGAAATAGTCATACGAGTAACTCCACCCAGTGTTGAAGCAGCCCCAACAAGAGCATAGAGACCTGGGTTGACACATGGATGTGCCGACTTGCACATACGTTGAACCAATGGGTGATCTGCGTGGTGGACAACAAGTTGCTCAATACCCACGCCCAACATTCGGCCCATCATTGCTCCAACCTGAAATCGGAAATCCTCAAAACTACTAAAGGCGTTTAAATAGAAATTAATAAATTAAATATGAGCCCAACTTACAGCAAGAGAAGGAATGAAGAGACCGGTTGGAACCTTGATGCCAAAAGTGAACACAGTGATGATGGCCTTGAGAAAGAGGGTAACAGCAAGCATCCACATTGCTTGGGAAATACCAGGACCTGCGTGATAGTTACCCATGATGGTGGCTTGAGTATCACTCAGGTTAACTTTGTAGTCGCTAAGACATGAAGTATCAGAATATCAGTAATATACTCTGAATACAATGGATATAGGAAAGTCTACCGAAATTATAAGGCAAGAAGTATAGTAAAGAGGAAAAAATTAAGGCATAAGTGAACTACCAAAGAGCACCGAGATCGCCAGGTCCACATCTGCTAACCATGAGTCGTACCAGGTCTCCCATGTTCATTCTCATGTAAGGTAGAGGGTAGGAAAGTACAGCCGTTGCCAGGGTGACCAGCAACACCTCTCGGACTGGGTATTGACCTAGCCACGTGGTCTTTCGCAGACGACAGATGAATAGATTTGAACGGTTGAAGAGGGTACCGAAGATACCCTGCAGTGGTCAAAGAGGATTAAAAAAAATTAGAGATGGATAGCAAAGTGGTAAGTATTTGTTGAGCACTTGGTTTCTCCAATTCTGCCATTACCGTCTCTTCACAATAGTTCAAAGAGTATCTAGACTTAAGGCTCTACTAAGCAACATAATAAGGTTGACACAGAGCCAATGAATTGTGAAGAGATAGCTCAGAGGACTCTTCTAGGCCGTTGTGAAGTCGTCCCAGCCCTCTTAAAAAACTCGCAAAAATTTACAGACTTATGACTAAGGCAAATCTCGACTTCAAGAGAATGATAGGAAAATTCGAAATTGCCAACTGTATACGAATGGTCATAGAAAAGTAAGTACCCTGGCACTATAGACAAGTTCACTGTTCCTAATGCGAGATTTTTAGCAAGAACTTTCGGTGGCAATTTCTTAGTTATTTTAAGCCTTATATAAGACAAAGGACATTGAAGTGCCAAATATCCGATCGCAATGATTAATGCAGAAATTGGATTCAACAGAAGTCCTTCTTAGATATCTTCTAAAAGACAGCACCTTTTCAGTATCTTATATGACAATAACAAAGAAATGGTTATGTTGTGAAGATCCTCTAATTAGGTATGAAACAAGCAAAATAGTAAAAACAAATCACTTACGCCCATGATGCCTAGGATGGCGAATGGAATGAGTTCGGCAATATGCCATTGGGCCTTGTAGTCAATCTGAAACATGACAAGATGTTCGTCGCCATAGGGGTTGATCATTCGCACCAGATTGGCAGAGACCATGGCGCAGAAGAAGGAACGGAACATGGTCTTCATGGGGAAGTAATAAGAGGCTTCCTCGAGGGAAAAGAGTACCCCACCAATTGGTGCACCGAATGCCACGGCTACACCTGCCGCTGCTGCTGCTGACAATATCTACAAAGGAAATTTTATGGCATAAAAATGTGCTAATATGCTACTGTTCATTTATCAGTAGACAAAATTTAAAACTATTTATCTGCTAAGAGAATGGAACAAAAAACACTACTTTAATAAACTCAATTACTCGACTAGTTGAAACAAAACCATCGCGGATAACCATTCCCATTTCCCGATATTATCATATTACCAACGGTCTCAGAACCTCTCAATTTCAGTAATGCTGTACACAAATAAGGATAATTCAGTTTGAATTGTCAGATGAAGTTGTTATTAATTACCCATCGACAACCAAAAAGTAGAACTTAATTTACTCTTTGTACTACAACTCTAGTGTTGCATATAGAATCACTCTCTTCACTTCCAATAGGTTTCTTCGACCTTACATCCCCAGTTTTTTGTCCAAAGAGCGGCGGCCTTCCAATTTTAGAGGAGCTGTTATATGTCACCATCCTCTAGTATGGCAAATAAGTTTTTTAAGGAGAACGATCTTAAGCTCAGCTCGATCGGACACTTAAAACAGTTAAAGACTAGTCTAGTTTTGCGCAATATTAGTAATAATCCCCAGGCATCAATAGTTAAGCCTTTAGTATTCATGCTTGAGAAGAAGTCGGACATTGCAAAGTCTGCCTCTACCATTAGACAAGATGTTGATAACACCGTCAGGGTAATATGAAAGAGTCTAACTTCATATGATTTTCAGACTGGAGTTGTAAAATATTTTCTTAATTGGTAGATCACACTGCAAAAGTTAAAGATCTGACTTGTCTCATGGGTTGCATTAAATACTGGTCCATGCGCATGTCCAGCGCATGTTAACAATTTTCCAATTAAAAGATTCAATGATCTTGACACTTCATTTAATAATTTGTTCACAGATTGAGAATACAATTGTGTCATACATATTGGAGTAGCTCTGTAAACATTTAATATGGTGGCAACGATAAAAGTTTAATCACCAGTAGTACCATATTATTTACAAGATGTTAACAAAGTGAACTCTATCACTCCCTCCCTCCTCTATTGGTTCGTCCGGACAGCACCATAAAACTGAATATTTAAGTATGTAATTAGAATGGGGGAGAGATTGAAGTCTTTGTCAATGAAGAAAGCTTAATAGAAGCAAAAGTAACAAAACTGAATTCACAGTCCTGAAAACTGATATCGAGTGCAAACCTACCCAAGCTCTCAAATATCTCAAACTAAGGGCTTTAAAGCAAAGAATCACAAGTTTGCGTTTATTAAACTACACGATTAGCATTTCCTATTGATAACTGAGATGCTCATAGTGTTAAGCCTCTAAGCATAAGGCCCAGTACGATTGAACACGCAAAAACCACACGCTCCATGATGATAACTCGACAAACCCAATCCACCCAAAATGAAATAAATGATAAGTCCCATAGAAAGAACCTGCAAATTGATGGGTTGGTTTGGTGTTAACTAAACTGCTATATCATTAGCAAAGGGGTTTCCACGACACACCCCTTCTGACCTACTTTTAAGATTTATGTCAAATGGCAGGCGTCTTGATGGTTATCTTTAGCCCTTTAGTTGACTTCAGGCTTCACGGAGGGGAAGGTACATCAAATTGAAATAAGTCGAGAGGGGGGGGGGTGAACAGAGGAGTGTTTCAAAAATGTAAGAGACAAACACAAAGGTAGAAAAGGTGACGTGAGTACTGTGGATAGAGTCGAATATGGCATAGAGTGAGGTGATGGTAGCTAGAAGTGAGAAGTCAACTGCCAGTTAATAGACTTTTTTGCCGTATGAATATACGTTGCCCAGGGTGCACCACGTGGAGGTAAGTCTGTCGCACACCCCCTTACTTTTAAGATAGTACACAGAAATCTTATTACTTCTGAGTGGTCTTTCGTTTTAAGCGTATATCACCTTACCCACTTCAGATCCTGGCTTGAACACATGGACAAGTGGATCAAATTGACGAAAGAGGTTTTTATAATTAATCAATAAGCCGCGATGAATCCATTAGAATAAGCTGTATAAATTTCAGATGATGTTGAAATTTCCGTTTCAACCCATTTCACATCGATTACGGTCGTGAAATGAAATGATTGCATCCTACACAAATACATGCTTTGATACACCTTGAAGAATTTATGCCTATCCTACTTACTTAATAAACACGTACCCAGACTTCGTCACATATCTTGGAATGTCCATTTATTTTTCCGAATTTTGAGTAGCAATTTGTAGCGAATAAACTAATGGACTTTGATTATTCTCATCTAGTGAGAGGGGGCTTTATTTCACTTTGATGAGAACGATTTCACTTATAGGAAGATATACGAATGCCTTCATGTTCGTAGAAAGTGTAAAGTCAGAGTAAAACCAATCGCCACCTGTAAATTGGTCAACCAACCAACCAAACAGTTTCATTGCAAATGAAAATGTTTGGTTCCCTTCCTCAGACGAATTCAAGAGTATTTTTCTTTAAAAGTTATGTTTGAAATAGGATTAGTATAGGAATGCAGGCTCACCTCTCGTTTCTTGGCCTCATTCTTTGAGTATTTGGGGAAGAGATATGAGAGAATATTGCCGCAACAAGAGGCCATGTGTACCATAGGACCTTCTTTACCCAAACTCAGTCCCGCCGAGACACCCAATACCATACCCATCGATTTCACCAACAGTGTCCACTTGCCTAAATACCCTCGAATAATGAAACCACTCAGAATTGTCTTGATCTCTGGGATACCAGAACCTAGGAAAAAAGGACAAAGATTGGTTAAAATGGCGTTAAGTAACAACTAAGCAAACTTATCTATTTGTAAATCAATATATTATTCTAAAAGTGCGAACACATCAAAAGTGCTTGCTAAACGACCGCACCAATCAATTTCATCAATCTCATCACGTTTTTAGACCGATATTAAAGAAATAAGCTTACCGCAGGCGTATGGAGCAAACATGCGTACAAAAGCGACGCAGAGTGTGGAGAACACGAGAGCCCATAGAACGAAGACAACGTAAGAGACGAAGTAGGCAGACGGGTTCTCGCCAGAAGGGTCTTTATTCATCATTAATCTAGACCACGAGTACCACTGGAAACAATGAAGGGGGATTAATGATTGAGGCTAATAGAAGTAGAACAGTGGCCTGAGTAATCGAGGCGTTTGGGAAAAATAAGACAACATCCAGTGGCTGTTCTTCTAACGTGTTAAAGGTGTTCCCATACACCACGTAGACACTAATAGCAGCTCTTTTTAAAAAAACTCTGACAATAGTGCAAATTTTCTTGACTATTGAATTACTCCTTCTTTGGTGGAACCGTCAAATATATTCGAACACCATGGGTACTTGAATAGGGCTTAGACTGGTTTCCTCCGTGAGTTATTTTAGAACCAAAAAGTTATAGCACTCTATACAAGCTAGTTTTACTGTGTTTACTTCCGATTCCAACCGTGGTAATTAACGCAAAAAATAAAATTAAGCTGTCTTTCGCCCAGGAATACTGTCATACAAGCATTCTTTGAGGAATTGCCTTGCTATAACTTGACAGAATAATAAGGGTAGGCAGGCGCATTAGTTCAGGTGGAAAGTCTAGATTTGGTGTTATGGAAGTGATAGTGGACGATTTATCCACTTAAGTTGAACGGGTACAGCTGGCTAGAAATTGCCAGCCATTCAAGGTAAAAAAACATTCACTGGCTTGCTAAGTCCCATTAAAATCGCATCTTTTACACTAGTCCAATAAGCATAAATATGTATCATGTGTTTGAGGTCAAATCTACGCTTAACATAGTAGAAATATAATTTAGACTATCAGTAAGAGAAGCTTGTAGAAAACCCATACAACAATAAGGTAAAACCAGTAAGAACACCACTTTAAAGAAATCAAAAAGTAAATAAAAGTACTCAACGCGGATAACTTAACCTTAGTGCATAACAGTGTCTACATACTCATTGGCACTCCCCAAAGCCACAAATGTATATTATTATATGACGCTAGGCAAAGGTCTAAATTTTAGACTTTCCAACAACCACTATATGAACAACAAGCAAAACGGGTGTTAAGAAACACGTTCAGGCTCTAGAATAACAGTATAATCAATCATTCATTGTTTGTACAGTGGCACCGCAATGCGACACTGGGTACATCCGGAGTGGTGGTAAAACGTAAAATCACACTTATGAAGCCTACACCAACACGCAACATTTCGCACTTCATTGCGAACCAATTTTCAATAATCCACCTACAAAGTTGCGTTTAGCACACACTATGTTACACGGGGACATAGCCGCGCAAAGTGAGAAGGGAAGAGCACTTAATTCTTGCCCAATTTAGAGAAAAAATGATTATACTAAGTCAATTGCAAGCGACAATGAAACAGGCATCTAGCTAGTAGGTTTATCGGATGAAGCAGCTCCAAAATCTGGCGACGGAATTAGCAAAAAAAACAAAGTTTCATTAAGCACAAATGGTCACTGGACGGAAGATGCGTATTGGTGTTAATAACCTTGAAGGATTCAAACCACGGTATTCGGTAACTATCAACACACATTAGTAAGCAGTTTAATTCAAATGCTAACTTTGGTTGAAACTACCATTAAATCAGAATCGCTATCCCTTTACTGTGCAAATGAAAATTAGAAATTAAACTATGTTTCTAAATCAAGGTATGCACTCAAGTTTCATTTCATCTTCTTCATGGAGGTCATATGAATGCAATGACCAATAAAATTGGCCTTCCATTGTAAACAATTTGACGCCATTCAGTCTGTAACTTCCAACTAGATTAACCAATTTCAAGGTCTACCCTTTCTTCAATATTGAAATATGAATTTAATAAAATAGCACTATCTTCGAATCAAAGTTAGCGCTGACACATTGAAATGAAAACTATAAATTAAATTTTGACAAATCACACAGTAACAAAATGTGGCAAATAGTAAGTTATTCAGTCAAGGAAAAATTGAATGGTTAGTAATTAGAAGGAAATGAGGTCACGTCAGAAAATGAATTAATATAATCATGAATGAACGGATTGGGGATATGAAATTTGACTTCAGGAACAAAGCTTTCCAATCATACGGCACTACAAAGGCCAATTCAGATATTTATGTACACAAAAACCCGAACTATATGTATTGTAAACGCCTGATAAGTACTCATTCTGTAATGACGGAACAAAAATAATTCTTGGATTCAATATCAAGATGCATTTCCCAGTACTCATCATGGAGAGCACGATGACGCTATCCGACTAGATACTACTCTATCGAACAGCAATAACAATTGAGGCTAATAGGCTGTTCATGATACCTAGACGTCATTGGTGTATGTTTGTGTAAAGGATTAAAAATATGATAACGGGATAGGCACCAGTAAACATAAATCCAATCCTGCGCTTCAAGAAACGTACATTTCAAATGATCGTCTACGACGTCCATTGGGGCACTCCATGAGATTAGTATGGCTAACTAACAAATTAGAAATTTAGAATTACGTACACAAGAAGGCTAGGAGAGGGTTGAAATCAAGCCTAACTATCTCTCGATAGTCAAACAAAAGAGCGAATAATGCCATTCAGGTTAAAAATGTTAGGATTTCACTGGACTTCTAGTAAAAGCTGACAATAATCAGGACTAGCTATTTAGTAAAACGAGTTTAAGTTATTTAAAATTTATGAAAAACTCACTTCAGGACAATCTTCACCAGGGACATCCGAAGACCAGCAACACTGTGCCCGATTAAACCAAAGAGCGTCAAGACAAATTCCTTCCTTCAGATCTGTTAACCAGGGCGTACCAATATCGATTAAAGCAGCAATAAGACCTGCAGCGATTCCAACCAGGCTTACACAAATCCATCCAGAAGCGGAATTCCAATAAATCCGAAGTTTTCCAAGAAGAGTGTTCTGTGTAAGTGAAAAGAAATATCAATAATATTAAAGATTTGAAGTTGCTTATTTTTTTCCACTCACCTTGTCAGAATGAATACGTCTATACCGATCTCGATCACAGGCAATATCCTTGACCCAATCAATAGTTTCAAAATCGTCGTACTGTTGACCTTCAGGTTTGTGAGGAACGGCATATCCATCATTTCGACGGTTAGAGGACTTCGAATGAGAAGCTAAGAAATCATTGTAAGGAGGAGTTCGGAACATTTTTGTCGAGGATTCTACAGAGGGGAAAATGATAGCTCGAATTGAGATGATCAAAAGAGTGAAAATGTAATAAAACTAACCCCTAGTTGAAATAATTGAATCATCGTTTGATTCAGGCACAATAAAGGTCGTAAAGCGCGAAGTTTTCTTAGGGGAAGAAGTAGGTTTAGTCAATTCGTTTGGATCCCAAAAGGGATTCTCAGAGCCATCCATTTGACAAGAACTAAGTTTTAAAGAGTTCAAATTTGGCAACAATAAACCTGTAATATAAAATTCACATCATAGTAAGCCAAATAGAGCCTGAAGGTGGTGGGGGGTGGGGGGGGGGAGAGAATGAAGAACAATATTTACACAAAATGTCTTTATTTAAAAAAGAACTGTACAAATAGAGAAAAATTAAACAAGATAGGGGGAGGTGATCACACTACCTTCGTTCGATGTCGATATTCGAGAGGCATTGGGTTATCCTTTAGGACAAAATTTAAATAAATCAGTAGAAACAAAAAATTAATTGATGTTTAACAAAATTAGTAAGCCTATTTTCAACTTACGTCATTCCAATAAACAACCTGTACAAACTTGAGAACGTGATCTCGGCCTAGAAACGTACCGGTTTCACTATTGAGGATAAAAAGATCAATCTAAATTTGGGTATTATATAAAATAAAAACAAAATACCTCCTTGAATCTTGAAATGTCGTCGAAAATGTTTAACGCAACAAATTTTCGCAGATGTGTAACCGTAGCTTTGGATGAAATCCGCAAGTACTTAAGACGGAGGGATTTTAAGGACTCAGAACCAGATTCTAATTTGACGTGAACGCAGTCGTCATCTCGATGAAAGTTGGGATCAGAATTGTGATTATCACTGGAAATATTTTTACTTCTACCATCTGTGTTTTGCCTAATACTTAAGGCTTTGTACTCATTAATAAGATCTAGAAGTAAGTGAAAAACATTCAGTAATATACCTTCGTTCGGGGGTGGAGATCGACCAATTGATCGGTAGAAATCGGACCGATTTTTCCTTTCAATTTCCTTAAGATTGGGGACTATCTTGTAAACAATATCTTGTAGGGTTCGATCAGCACTGAGACATTGAAGAGCAACAAAATTAATTACCTTATATAATTTAAGGGATGACTTTGGTGGATGATTATTCCACACTCTGGACATGTATTTTTAACAGTCAAATGTTTAACAATACAAGACTTACAAACTAAAAATGATTAACATGAACAGATTGTTACAAGGATGAAGACATTCAGTTATAGACACGGCGTCAATAAGATATCCATGGCATAATTTGCATGTTAGGTGAGAATTGAGACTAACAAGATCTATTTGTTCAATCAGAGGTGGTTCCTCCATGAGGACTAACCAAATTAAAGGATGGGACCACCAGTTGGAGATTGTTTAATTGAAAATTGCACCGAAAGAGAACTTAACTCTAATACACAATTTTCGACGCTAGAAAGGATTTTTATTTTTAATTAACACGCTTGTGTTCATTTCCCATCTCATAATATTTAATTAACGAGGATTGATTTTGAGTTTATTTTATTCTATTGTAATAGAAATTTTCTGGATATTGAAAATAAAGCACTTGGATTCAGTAATATCCCATATTGAATTTATTACAGATTGACACAAATAACGAATTAAGATGCCTTAATTTATATTTAAATTAATAAATATTAAATTATATTGGTAATGCTAAATAGGCTTTTATCGAACGTAGTAGCATTAATTTAATAACTATTTTATTGATTGAGTGGTTCATAATGATCATTTTGAGAAGTTAATGCATCGAAATTTCTACTGTTGACACATCTCGAAATCGCTATTTTACTTTCATTAGAACTGCATGATGTAAATCTGCAAAATAGAAATAGTCTCAACAAATTTAGTTAAGTCTTAGAGTACCATTTTGAAGCTTCAAAAATGGAATTGCTTGAGTATCAGCTTGACTCTTCATTGGGAAGTTCATTCCAAGGCACCCTACTTTTCAATAGGAATTTTTGCTGGGAATTTGGAATACGATAGTATATTGATGCCTTGGTTTATTAATCCATGCATAATTTGCTTAAGCAATGAACTATCAATTCAATGTCAATACCTATACTCCTGTGTATTGAAAATTCAGGCACCTTTACTTGTTTAAATGAACATCCAATGGGATCGTATAGTTAAAATTAATATCTAAAAGTCAAAGGATTCCCAGACCTTCGCATAATGTTCGAATATTGTCTAGTTTTAACTTGGTTAAACCTGTGGATCTATACTTGTTTGATCAGATTAACTTCCTAAAAACTACATCGATCCATATATTTTCCTTAAACATGACCATTTTGTCACCGAAATGTCTTATTCTTATCAAATCATTAATTTTTTCTAAACAAGATTGAATAGCACGAACCAAGACGCCATTGTATTACCACTGATTGCCTTTTTACATGACTGTCTCTGACATGGCTAAAAGCCTCTTCACTCTATGCCCATCTATAAAAGAATGGCATCGATAAACCTCCCATTCTCTCTCTCGTCGTGCTATGTTCCTGTGGGAAGCTGACACTTGACTTGCATACTCAGTGACCAATGCATCACCCATGCCTATGAATAATCTACCCCAATCTCAATTCATTATAACCCACGTCTTCAAAGAGACGACATCGCTTCTGATTAGCGCCGTCGTTGACTACTGAAGTGACGCTTTCCCACCCCTGGAATGAATAGATTATTTGACTGTAGAAACTCACTTGAGTCAAACGAGCATTGACAACAGATTAAAAACGACTACTAATAAAATAAGATATCAATAGATGCAAGATCAACTAAAAACCTCCAGTATGTTATTTGTCGGTGAAAGGAAACGACCAAGAAATTTGCAGCCTGAAAAATATCTCGTAATCACGCCACTCCTGTGGGCCATGAAATGATTGTCGCAAAAACAGCAAGATATAACTGAAAGTCGAGTCTAAGTACGCTAAATATCAACTAAGCGGCTAATGTAATTTAGGCCACCGGCGACCCAAAAGTGCTGAAAAAAGGTTTACACCATTCCAAAGACTAGGCAATGATATGGCAACCCATAATCGGGCCACATACAGCTTTGACATAATTGTCCTTTAGAAAAAAATACAACTTCGGTTCAACTGACAAGAACATTAAAAGTCCCATAGTTTGTTAGTTAATTGCAAACTGAGCATTGGTTCACCCGGATCATTTAATATTACCTATCTATCAGTGCTGCCGCGTTAATAAATTTGTTGTGACCTGCAAAGAACATTTCGTACAATGGCACATATCAAAAGTGAGGCAAACTCATAACATCGCCGGAGTCAAGTCCTAAAGACAATAGAAACTAAGACACTGGGAAGCTATAAGTCAAATAATGAACTACCGTTAACTAGTCAAAAGCCTATATTTATGATCATCAACAGCCACTTTGGAAGGCGAAGTCAACTAATTGGCTACTTATAAATATCATAATACATAGGATTTGAAATAACCATGACTCACAGCAGCCGACGTGATAAGCTATGAACATTTTGAACATATTCAAATTGCAATAGTTCCGAATGGAGTTTATTTTTAAAAATAATTGTACTACCCTGAGAACGCCAAATAGTTAATATCAAATAGAATATAAATGCATTCACGCAACTGTACCGCAATCAACAAAAAATCCGACAGCAATACGTAATGCAACGAATGTATGCGCAACATAGATCCGAACTTACCTAAGAAAAGCAGAGGCACTCAACACACTAGCCGTCTTTAAAAGTGCTTATATAATTTATATTCATATAGAAAAAGCTGCAAAAATACGAAACAGAGGTTTTTAAATAGTCAATAATTACAATTATTCCCATTATGCGGAAGCTCAAAAAATTTCAACCTTTTTAGATCATTTATTGTTTACAAAACCCATTCAGGGAACTCGATAGCTACATCCTTTCCAGTAAGCGTTTTATAAAGGCCACAAATCGTTTTAAGCTAAAGAAAAAATAAGGTTTAATGACTCAAGATTACCTTATGCTCAACATAGTTTCTTTGGGAAACATCCAACTGGCACTTTATTAGTTTGCTTCCGTCAACTTTGTGTTGAACACGCTTTCCAACGATCTCTGCAGGGTACACAACGTCTTTCAGTATGTTTTCATGAACGGAGGTAAGTGTGCGATTTCGTGGTCTTTTTTGCTTCGGATTGCTCCTGCAATTTCTTTTGGGCTTGTTGATGATGCGTCTGAAGGCAACAATGAAAACTTGAGCACCACGAAGCTTTTTTTCCAATTCGCCAACCAAACGATTGTTCAATTGGTTGTATGTGCGGAGTTGACTTACAGGGACGAAAATTACAATGGCTTTTTCGTGACCGATTTCGAATTCCTATAGGGTTATCTTTAAAAAATGCTCACCTTAGCGCCACAGAAGTATAGCATTTTGAAGGCATCCGAAACATCCTCGTGCCCTTGTAGATCTACAAGAGTAGCATGAATTTCCTCCTCCAAGGGTGTAGGTGGAGTTTTATCGGGTTTCATTAACTTAGAAAGAACCATTCTTGCAAACAACAAACCAAGCACACACTTATATCGTGTACTACCAAGTGGCGCGGCATGCTGAAATTAGCATATTTTAAAACAATAGGAATTTTGCTAAAAATTTAACCTATTTCATGAGTTTATATGATGTATCACTATCATTAACTGATGGAATTAATTTTCTTTACTTTGGAGTATATTCATCACCATATAATAAATATATGTTTATTTTTGTTTCGAATGATCGAAATGGCAGAGTAACTCAATTTTTTTTGATTGTAAAATTGTCAAGAAACATCAATATTATTTAAGGTTTTTCAAATTAGTTTATATATTCATAGAGATTTTTTATTTTTATAAATTTTAATGTTCACATATCACGGAACTGACTTTGTACCCATGGAAACGAATTCCACTCTCAACAAACTCTCATTTTAATTTTGAACAATAAGTGAAAATATAACTAACTAAGCAAGATATATGATTTATATTTGGTTCTGAAGAAAATTTGCCTTAAGGAAATTTAGTTATTTACCCTTTAACTTTGGTAAACACCAGAAATTCGGGTACCTCAGAACGGTGATTTCCTTAATTCATTAGGCGAATTTCAGTTATTTTTGTATCGTTTTGCCATTTTTATGGCTTTCAAATAAAAAATTATTTCTTCATTTTATAATCCATCTTTGTCCATAGATTTGATTGACTGAGTTTAAGAATCACTTAAAAATATTCTTGTTTTTATTTGGGACTAATTGCACTAGATCATATTATAGCTGCTCATAATTGATTCGAATTGGAATACATCCATAATGAAGTACAGTACATTTTTTATTTAAAAGCCAAAACTGTTTTTTTAATTCGTTATAAACAAGCTTTAGAATTATTCAGAATTGTGGTTAAAATGAGCATTGGCTTAATCAACCTTTTTGGTTTGGTTTAATTACACGTATAAACATACGAATCGGAAGCATTAATATTAAAATACATTGAATTGGGAATTTTGTGAAAATTTCTCAAAATGCAGTTAAAAATGAAAGCCATTTAAAGAAAATAACATCTTTTGAGGCAGGTTATATTTTATTTTCAATTTATAACGCAGTATCCTCCATTTTATTCTATTTAGCAAGTGTTAAAAACGATTACGCTAAGGCTTTTAAATGGTAATTTATTTCAAATGATGCAGTACATTTAAGTAATTTTAGCCGTTATCTATGTTTGCTATTTATTCCTATAACATTGATAAATAAAAAGACTTTTAAAATCATAAAAAATATTGCAATTAAGCTATTGATTTTTTAATCATTCTAATAACGTTAAAATAGAAGCAATAGTGTAAGATTTTCTTAAATGTTTTCTTTTTAATAACCTTTTGTTTTCATTCATTCTTTTTCGGTAAAATTTTGAATTGCATGGGTCAGCTGTATTAAATGGTTGATTATATAGCAATCACAGGTGATGCCAATGATGAAAACGTCGATATCCTTCAGAGGTTCTCTTTTTGGAGGCGCATTCGCCACAGATTGGGCATTGATAATCCGGATTCGATCTCTGTCATTTTACTATTTTGTATCAATCTTCTCAATTATATGGATAGGTTTACGATCGCAGGTATTGTAAATCATTTGTTTATTTGCATAAATTATAGGCATTCCTGATATGATTCGTGACTTTTACCACATTGACAGTAAGAGACTAGGTCTCTTGCAAACATCTTTTATTATATCCTACATGTGTTTAAGTCCCGTTTTTGGCTATTTGGGTGATCGGTGGAAACGGAAGTATCTAATGATCATTGGTCTCTCAGTTTGGACCCTCTTTGCATTCGTCAGCTCATTTGTTCCATCAGATGTAGTTCTTGTTTAGTAATGATTTATTTCGTAGAAATTCGGACTATTTCTATTCCTTCGATGCGTCGTTGGGGTAGGCGAGGCCAGTTACTCCACCCTAGCGCCTACTATTTTGACGGATCTTTTTGTTGGAAACGCTCGCACCTCCGTTCTTGGAATTTTCTATTTTGCTGTTCCTGTTGGAAGGTTTGTAACTTTTTAAATCAATAATCTTTTCCTTTGCAGTGGGCTTGGTTTTATTTTCGGTTCGACTATCGCAAACGCCACTGGCAATTGGGCCTGGTCGCTCCGAATTACTCCTATTTTGGGGTTGTTTTGTGTTGTTGCTTTAGGGATCTTTCACACAGATCCACCTCGTGGGCGGGCTGATGGCGCTTTCCATTTGCACACCACTTCCTGGTTTGCTGACCTTAAAAGTCTTTCATCAAATCGTTGCTTCCTTCTTCTCTCTTTGGGTTTCACAGGAAATTGCTTTGTTTTGGGCTCACTTTCCTGGTTTTCTGTTGACTATATTCAAGATGCTCTTAATGCACGGATTAGTGGATCCGCTTCAGCTTATCCGTAAGTTTATATCGTTTTATTTTCATTTTCTCTTTTAGGGTTGCTCTGCTTTTCGGTTTGAGCGCTTGTTTCGCTGGACTTTTTGGAGTTATTGTGGGCACTGCGATGGCCAAAAAGTTGCGAGTTTACTCAGTTTGTGTTGACACCTATATATGTGGTGGTGGATTATTGATTTCTTCACCGTTTATTTTTGCTGGACTGGTCTTTCCAATCTACAACTTTTATCTCTGTGTGACCTCCGTCTTTATTGGGCAGTTTTTCATGTGTCTGAACTGGGCTCTGATATCAGATATGACAATGGTATGTCGGACTTTTCGGTTTCAATTCCTATGTTAGAATAACTCCTATATTAGCTTATCACGTTCAGCTTGACTTAATTTTAGTTTAACTCCAAATAATGTGAAAGTCGTAGCACCTATAATTTTTCTAAAAAAAGCTAGATCGTCAGATTTTTATCGGCAGGTCTTAGTTTCAATTATCTGCTCGCGACCTGTTTCGGCACAATTTTGTCACATAATGTATCAATAAGAAATGAAATGCTTGCTCCTTGCAAATTTACGACAAATTAATTTTGTATTCTCTCGTTTGTTGCTTTCTGAGCAGGGATGCATTCTCAGCCTGTGTTTCATAATTAGAAGTTTATCACATCTCGCGCGAACTACTTGGACATCAGAGTTTTTAAGGAGCAATGATTTGTTCTTTAAATAGTTTTTAAATGCTTTTTAATTTTTTATTGCCTTGAAAAGCGAATAGACTTTGGATGTAGTTGTTTTTTTTCAAACGAATCAATATTTATTCCTTTATGAATTCTTTAAAGTTACGTACTATGGAGGTATAATTATCAGAAAATGTTTTTCAATAAAGGCTCCTAGAACCAACGAATTATGCATTATATACTAGGAACAGGTACAGAATTCCTTGAGCCTCACAGATGATTATTACGCACTTGAGTGAAAAGAGTTCTCCCTGGTATCAACTGTATGGCATATTGAATAAATGCTTCTACTATAAATAAAATTGTTATACTTAATAGAGGTGACCCCCCAAATCCCAAATAAGCAAGGATAGAGAAGTTTTGCCACAGAACACTTCTGACGAGTATCTCGAAATATCTGGAAAGCTTTTCAATATTTTCTATTTCCATATCTTTACTCCCAATCTAAGAGCTAAGCTACTGTGAGTTATCAAGTATCGAAAGAGCGTTTTGATTGGTTCTTCTGCAACGCTAACTCCATTGCTTGCTTATCGTCATTTAATCTCCAAATAGCTTTCTATTATCAGTCTTGGAATAAATTGTAGTATCAAGGAGAGTAAAGTAAAATAGCATTGAATTGCGGGATAAGGGAAATGACTATGTGAATAGGAGTTCATGTCTTTCCTTCGCACATCTAAATGACTTCAATACTTTAATGTTCTTTCGTCGTTCCTTATTTGTAACACGTTCCACAGTGCTCAAGAATAAGTTGGTTGATCATGGCAGTTGAGTTTTTTTTATTTCTATTAAACGTCCATTTCATTGAGTTTGGAATCCACCTGCAGTCTTATGCCTTTCATATGTCCTCTCAGATGTATACCGATAATTAAACTCCTACGAAGTTCAAGTGTCAGTATTTGTGTTTGAGGGAAGGAAATTAAATAGTGATTGTTGTGGTGTCTTAGTGCTACACATTTTATAGTCTGTTGATCGTCGCAAATATTTTTATCTATACTTACAGATGCAAAGACCGACTAAATATATTCAGAGCAAGCGGAGTTGTGGTGTCATAAATTTTAGTCGGTCAAATACAGTCCTCAATGGTTTTTTAAGGCTATTCTCTGCTTATTTCAGTCGGTTGTAATGCCAACTCGACGGGCCACTGCAAATGCATTTCAAATGCTCGTTACTCATGCTCTCGGAGACGCAATCAGTCCTTTAGTCATCGGCTTGGTAAATCCTTTAATTTTTCTAACTTTTCAACCACGAAAATCCTACTAACTGACTTTCTTTAGATCGCCGATTCTCAAACTGTACCAAATTCATTATATTCACGCTATCTCGGCATGCAACGAGCACTATTTATAAATGTCTACATATGCATTATATCTGGCTTTCTATTCCTCTGTGCATCGTGGTACCTTGAATCTGCTAAGGCGAGTGTCCAATTTATCATCGATGGTACGTTTGTTATACCTATTTGATATAAATATACACGCAATTTATTTTATTATCTACTGATTTGACTTAAGTAGGCGCATTATTTAAGTGACTTTTTTCTCTTAAGCTTCTCGAGTTGAGCAATTCGATGTATATGAATCGGAGGTACACTCAGATCCACAAAGACGCTTATCTTGTCAAAATTATGGAAGCACCTCTCAAACCACTCCGTTCCTCTCTTTTGAAAGTCATCAGTCCACTGTCGCTTGACCGAATGAATAAAAATTTTATTACATGCAATCCACTTAATTGTATTGAGGATATAATTCCTTTTTATTTAACCAATGATCGAATGCTGTGATTTTTCGAAGGATTTCAAATACATAAACCTATTATTAGTACTTTTATTTTTCTTCAAATTTAAATAAAATAACTTTGATCTGAGCCGTTTTTTCTACTTATAATTAAATATAATAGGTGGTGTGCGATAGATTTACCTCCACGTGGTGAACCTTGGGCAACGTAAAATCATGCGGCAAAAGTCTATAAACCGGCAGTTGACTTCTGACTTCAAACTGCCATGACCCCACTCTATATCATATTCGACCCATACACAGTACTCACCTCACTTTTTTCCTTTGTGTCTGTCTCTTTTACATCTTTGAAACACTTCTGTTCCTCCCCCCCCCCTCTCTCTCGAATTTTTTTCACTTTGATGTTCTTTCCCCTCTGTGAAGCTTGAACTCAACTAAAGGGCTAATGGTAACTATCAAAACGCTTTCCATTTGGTATAAATAAATAAAATATAATAGAGAATTATATAATAATAATGATCAACAGTTGGAACATTATTAATCTCCAGCATCCCTGGGCGTATAGTAAGCTACCGTTTGAAAATGCTCCGACGACTGTGCTTGCCGGCAATTTTTTATTTCTCAGTGAAGCAGAGGTAATATGTGGAAATTTGGCTGACATAAACATTTGCATCTAAAACCGCATTTGGCAAATGTCAGTCGGGGTTGCATCGGTTTCACGGAGAACGCTCAGTGGATCTTTAAAGCTTATTCGTAGCTGATAGGGAGTGAGATCTTGGAAAAGCTTGAATGCAGACCCCGGTAAACCAGCAAACTCATCACTGAGGTCTCCTTACTAAAAGCCACAATGTTAGATCTTAGTCCCTATGTGTTTTACATTACGTGCAGGCAGCTACCTCAACAGCTTTGCATCTATTAGATACTACAAGCACAAATCTTCCAGCTGATCTGCACCCACATTCACATAAACTGAACGCACTTCAGATATAAACAAATCACTCTCTGTGAAAGTGTTGTTGTGTTCAATAATTTTCTAATATGGGTGAACTCTAAACACCCGACCCGAGCTCCATGAACAATGCAAAACAATTTCAACCAAATTCAACTGTACTTTACTAATAGGCTTCTAGTAAATATGAATCCATCGATCGGTGGATAGAAAAAGCACGCGTACTAATTTTCGTCAATAATAGCAACAGCATAAATGGAATGCACAATTACCAAAAATGAAGCAATCGAGTCTTCTTTTACACAAAACGCGTGCTCAAATAGTAATACTACTACTAATAATAATATAATCAAAAAAGATAATGAAGTGGTGGTGGAAAGGGCGAGGGGATGAATGTAAGGGAGAGGGGGAAGAATGAATGCGGACGGAATGAGGTGTAGCTACTTCTCCTTCACAGATTCTTCTGAGACCTCTGGATGCTGCTTGGGAGCCACTGCACACACATCGGAGCGGAAAAAGGTGCGGTACTTCTTAACCAATTGGCCGCGTTTACGCGGATTCATAAGAGCTATTTTGGACTTCACAACCATAAGGGTTGTAATAAGATTGCCTGCTGCAGTAAAGGCGTAAATTAACGAAACAACGCCTGGCTAAAAGTGAAATTAAAAGAAAAGGTTGTAAATAAACAAACTTAGGCATTGAAAGAACGACAAGGCGATATAGACCTTTCAAAATGAAGGGATTTTGGTCTTTAGAAATTTCGTAGCTGTGGAAATTTAGCAGAGTTGCATTTACGTAAGGTCAGATTTTTTTGGAAAATTTATCATGGACATTTTATGCGCTACTTACGTATCGCAATTTTAATGTTACCTCTTCAACTGTTATCCGTGCAAATGTGTCTGACCCCAGTCGAATGTCAACGTACCAACCCAAAAGTACGACAGATAAAGCTTCCTCTTTCTAGTTCAGATTAAAACACAATGTTCCTACTCTCGCCTTGCTTTCTCTGTCTTTGACATTAAATAACGATTTCGCTCATCTGCTTATTATTAGTACACTATAATTAATATCCTCCTTAGCGCAGACCTCGGAAAGAGCTATCGGGTTTGAAATTGCTTCAAATACATACTAGCATGATTCATTTAGGAGGGGTGTGCGATAGACTTACCTCCACGTGGTGCACCCTGGGCAACGTATATTCATACGGCAAAAAAGTTTATAAATCGACAGTTGATTTCTGGCTTCAAACTACCATGACCCTACTGTATGCCATATTCGACCACTACCACAGTACTCACCTCTCTTTTTTCTCTGCTTTTGTGTCTGTCTGTCGCCTTTACATCTGTAATTCATTCTTCTATCCCCCCCTCTCGGCTTTTTCTCACTTTGATGTTCTTCCCTTGTGTGAAGCCTGAAGTCAACTAAAGGGCTAATGATAACTATCAAAACGTCTGCCATTTGAAATAAATAAATGTTTCCTCTAGGTAATCTTTGAGTTAAAATCTACGACTGGACAAGAAATTGCTTACTGTGGTAAAGGCTCCATTAAAGCCACAGCGCATAGACGTGCTGAAATTTTTACAACTCACTTTTCTTTGACCATAGAAACTGTACTATTGACGACTGTAACATGCCTCCACTCAAATCGCATATTTGATAATTTGACTTAATGCAATAAAAATATATCAAAATAAATAAATTCACACTACTGTAGTTTATATATGGATGGAGTAACATCACGCAAACAATAGCTACACTGACCTCCAAAGGATATTTTGATTAAGACCAGCTTTTAGAACTCAACTCGTTTCGAAAGGAGCAATGAAACATATTAATAATGTGTGTGTGCATACACAATCAGCAAACGTAAGCCGGTCAATGGGAGTTCCTGTAGACAAATTATCGAAACAAAAAGGCCAAAAAAGGAACGAAACCTTAAATGGCACTCCCAAATTTCGCATCAAATGAATGCTCAATTGGAACTTATACATCCTTGGCACGTTGATATGAAAAAAGGTAAACATACCATAAAATCGTGGTCAATTATGCAATTCCCCAAAGTCAATGTGATGGAATGGACTTGATGAAAGAGATAATTCCTTAAAGTTATGTAAAGCCATAAGTCTAAGCTTCAATAAATCAATGGCTAACACAGGGAATTTACCTTGGATGGTACCACTTTGTCCAAGGCGAATACTGGAAACCGCTTCCTTAATTAGCTTGAGATTTACAGTATACGACCGCGATTATGGATACCTCTGTAATCGAGTTTCGTAAAAATCATCATACAGAACTAGTCACCATAGACAGGCTTATATGAACCTTAACAGACATGTGGTCTAAAGGAATGTCCATTAGCGACCACATTAACTGTAAAAACAGTGACAACAAAAAGGTAGAGTTTCGTAGCACAAAATGAAGGATAAACGTCTTCTTTTCTATAGCCAAGTCAAAGTTGTATATCGACGCTCTGGAAGTTAAATGGCTATGTGAAAGTACAAGAAAAAGAAGATTAACTAAAAGGTGACAATAATTTGACCACCCCGAAAATGAAGACGTGAAAATGTCCTGTACTTGATAGTTGACCTGGTGTTAGTGGTAGTGCCACAGTAGTTCCCACACGTGACTCCTTGTTGTCCATTGATTTGAACCAATGTTTTCATTTTTAAGAAAATCTGAACGTGTTTGGTGATCAGTGAATACATTCACGCGTTTGAAAAGTGCTTATACATGTGAATGAGGTACTTAATGAGTGCAATAATTAACGAAATAATTTCAGTAATTTAAAGTACAATATTTCAGAAAAAAGGTGAATTCCAATAGACCTGAATTTAACAGTAGAAAGTATGAAATTCTAATCAGAATGCGCTGAAGTAAAGAATAGCACGCATGAAAGCATTAAAGGACCTGATATACAATACTACTAATTTCCCTTACTTATAAAGAAACATTAAAAAAACAAAGTACTAAGATTTGTGAAGTAGCCTACGACGCAACACAGCTATGAAAATATGAGTAAAATAGAAATAATTTTGAACAGAGTTCACTTGATGTGTCCATTTTAAGTAAATATAAACAATTGCAAACTTTCGTTCATCAAAATAGAAAAAAGCAGCATAATTGTCAACCAAGCATTCCGAAATACCTCAAGCTAGGAGTATCTTAAAGGACAAAGAGGTCCTCCTTACTGTTCCGATATATAAACACATTTTGTACTTCGTTTCCAATATTAACATATTGAACACAAATAAAGAACTTGCAGTAAGCCAAATAACTAACTCCACTTATTAACATACTCCAATTTCCGAAAATGACTAAGATTCACCAAAACAGAATATTGGTGGAATTACGCCAACCTTGAAAGTTGAGATGTGCTAGTTGATACAAGTTAAGCCAAGTTAGCTTTTGAATTCCTCAAACAACTAACTGAAACCCTGAAAGTTACAAGTTTTACAAGAATGGAAAAGTTACAGAGATGGGAGTTAAACCAACTTTAAAGCATACAAAAACTAAGAAAGTGAAATGTTCCGAAGGTAATTGAGGTGAATGCAAACGCTTGATATTGAGATTTATATGTTATCGAGAAGCCTCTAAGCACATTTACAACTAAGCAAACCAACAGCATTTTCCTGCGAATAGCAGAAACAATCCCATTGGTTCTCATGTTTCAAAAAATGAGAGAATTAATAATACTTAGTTATACACAATACTAAAAATCATAATACCAATCAATAGTGATCTTAAAGTACTGCTTAAAACTAATATCAACCCGTTTTGCACTTTTTTAATATAATAGAGGCTGTGAAAATGGATCCAAGAAAAAAAACAGTATGAAATAGCCACTACTAGCTCTTTTTCAAATAAGCATAATGCATTAGTCGTGGACCTGCTTCCATATTTAACGGATTTAGTGATTTTTCGTCTTACCCTCTGGATATGCTTTTATGCCTGTCCAACCATTACACAGATAGGAAACTTTGCAGCCATACTAACAGCTCACATTTTCGTCAATTACAGATTAATGGCGTAGAGTTATATAGTAAAAATATTATTGAGCCCACAGCACTCATTGAGTGCAATATCGATAAATTCTGCAGAAAATGCCAGACGGCGAGAAAACACATCTTTCCATTTATTAATTATTTGAGTAAAATAAAATCGTATCAACTACCTAGTGTGCATCATTAAACACTGACTTATAAATCTATTTGAGGAAATTTCACTGATGAGTTGAAACGCCTTAGAAATTTGTGCAAATTAAGTATAAATTACCTTCCCTGAAGACTGTAAGACAAGACAAATGGATCAATGTGGCATGACCAGTAGATAAATTAAGTGGTATAGTACGGAAGCTCTAAGTATCACGGAGATCTAATCACACAAACTGAGCTTGTGAATTATACCTCTTGTGAGAATCGGTGCATCCTGAATTGAAGGTTCTTAACATTCCGACTTCACTGGAAGCACTTTCAAATTGTACGACATGAACAAAACTTGACCACTTTTGTGACAAACTACATGTTCTACAACTCTCAAAAGAAAAGGAGTATCAACTTATCCTAATTGATCGCAATTATTAAAAGCCTCATTTTAGAAAAATTTCATCCTGTACCAACTTGCAATCTATATTATACATTCACGCCTTAGTGGTGCATTGGTCACAATCCATGTCTGACAACACTACAGAGGTTATGGGTTCGATTGCCATCGGCGCACACTCAGTGGGAGAAATCATTAACGAATTGTAGTGAAAGGAAACTTTGCAATTCCCCAACAGCCTTATAAGAAAAGGGATACTTTTCAATAGCACCAATTTAAGGCAGAGGAGCCATTCCGGGTGCAATTAGTAGGCGAATGAGGATTGAATCTATGACCTCTCACTAATAGCACATGGAGAGAACTCACTCAGCGTACCAAACTTAACAGAATTGCGCATTCTGAGTGATCAACACCCGTAGCCATAGTTATCACTTTGGGTTAGCATGGTAATAAAAAGAGGATAATTACCTGCCACTCTTGACAATAAGGCGCTTTAGAAATGCAGTAGAGACTGTAGGCATTGTAGATTTGGAAAGCATAGGCACTCAAAAGGAATATGAGCACAAAGGAAAGTCGGCTAGACATCCACGTCATATAACCATCTATCACCAAAAGCAGACATAGTCAATAATCGAGAAATTGAACCAACAGGGATATCGACTGAGATGCACAACTCACCAACTGTAATATCCATAGAAGGCCGCTGCCCAAGGGCCCTCAGCTTGTAGAGACAACCCATTTGATAGTAGTATTGCATACATTGAACAATTACTAGAACCAAACACACATTTTTGCGGTGATAAGACCAATTCGATAGTCTAAAGCCATGGCCGCAAAAGTAAATCCGAACTCACGAATATAGAAGCTATAAAACATGAACTGGTCACGGAATTCTGAGTACGAATGTGAACTTGGCCTACAAAAGATAACGGACGAATGATAATGATGACAAACATTGAAAGAAAGCACATGTCACGAAGAAAGCCGCATACCAGATTAACATGACAGCTGCTTCAGCCGTGAGAATGAAGTGATAAGTTGCCCACCAGCCCTTAATTCGAGATCCATTTTGCATGAGAATTCGTTCACGGATAGTCAGTGTGCAGTAATACCAAACAATCAAAAAGTGAAAGATGGAATCAAAGAGGCTAAACAAGGAAATAAAATCAATTGAGGGGGGTAATGTTATAACCATGTTAATAGTATACTCTCTCAGGTAACCCACCTAACTGAGTTGAAGAAGTAAAGGAAGAGTGCAAAGAGGCTAATAATAGCAGAAACGGTCATTTTGAAGTTCTCGTAGTTATTTTTGTATTCAAATTTGTCCTGTTTATTACTGAAGGAGACGTCGACAGGGCCGAGAATAATTCTCAAATATAGACCATTTTGTTTAGGTAGACAATCTTCCATTTCACGCAGTGTTAGCCACTTGTCCTCAAAGCTGTTCTTCATTGCAGCAATCTGTATTTGCTCCTCTTGGCTTGCTGAAGGTTCGATTCTGATTTAAGCATGTAAACAAAGATTCATGTGAAGCGATGTAAATTCCTCACTAATATAAAGCACTGTTTCGGAATAAATTGAGAATTAAATAACGTATAAAGTTATATCTCGATAGTTGTGCAGAGAACAGTGTGAAAATATGTCAGGGAAGAGGTCATGTCGACCTCACCAGTTATCTCCGATTGAGAAGAGGGGTAGTAGTAGGATCCAGGATACATTGCCTCAAATTAAATACTATGCCGTTATAACCTTAGTCAACGAAATATGAAAATATATTTTCCTCCGAAGAACACAAAGGCATATTTAGGAGATATATTAGGTATGTTTTCACTGTAATGCATTTATAGACATTTAAGACGTGTTCATTTTCTTAAGGGCACGCTAAGTTTAAGAAATGTGGTGTAGCAGTCAATAAACGTCTTTTAAGTCGATGCTCATCCAGCTAACAGAATGAAAAAAATGATAGTCATACAAGAATGATGAAGCGAGTCTTACAAAAAACTCTTATTATTCAACCAAGAATGCAACAAAACAGCATCTATGTGAAGGTCATGTTAATAGAATTGCATCAGAATAAAGGCCCTGGGAAGATAACATACAAAATAATTTATCGTTAAAGTAAATTCAATCTTCAGATCCTTGTGGTTAAAAATAAAATATAACGAAAATCTCCGAATTCTGTTTTCGTTGGTCATGCATTATTTGGTCGAAATCGCATATTTGGCAAGGCTAAATTTAAAGCAGCAAAACCTATCATGGCATACAAACTATTTACTCATAGCCAAAGCAGTATCAAGTAAGGCTGCATTCTTTACAATAAAACCTAAACAAATAGTGAGGATGAATTCCCAACCGATATAGTATCAATCATATAAGAAAACACGATAAAGGAACGTACTTTGATAGCTTTGAACGCAACATCTTGATGTACAACTTAAAGTGCTTTATATCGTGTTTACAGGCATTCTGCTGAGCTCTGATTTTCTCGGACAGATCAGTGTAGTCGTCGTAGCGTTTTTCGAAGGCGCCGAATTCACTCTCGAATTTCGACACAATTTCGCACATTTCATGCATGTTGGTAGGATTCCTATTAGACAAACACATTTAACAAGACCAATAATAAGCGATGAAGGTGGCAATACAGCATTTAAAAAAAACGTGCAACGCAAACCGAGTCACAGTAACAAACAGCAACAATAAGACCGGAAAATTAAATTTACCAACCCAAGAATAGGACTCATTTTCCTGCAATTAAGTTGTATGGTTGAAAAACAGTAGATAAATAAAAGAGAATATATAAACGATGTATCACAAAGAACATGGTCGCAGCTCGATAGGAGAGCAAGGAAATTGAAAATAAATTCAGAAATAGTGGTGTTTTGCCATTTAATTCAACGTGCACACATTAAATCCGGAATATTAACAAAGATTCGAATCAAAAACGGACTGTGCAATGTTTACCAAGAAAAGTTAAAAAAATCTAAACAAGAGTGGTCAAATAAAATACGGCGAATAATAATTAACAGAAATAATAATGCGATGCAATTTTGTTATTATCAAGTATAAGTATCGAAGTACATACATATTCCCAACTAAATGAGCAAAAAATTTCAGAAATCCAGTAAACTTTTAAAGTGACTAAATTGCATACTCGTATGATGCACAAATTTTAGAAACGCAATAACTGATGACCGCCAGTAGCGTTAAAGACCTTTAGAATGGGAAATCAAACAAGGTATCGTATCAAATAATATTTTATAAATATTAATAATCTGATACCATGTTTTATTTATCAGAATATCATATTTAAATTTAAGTTACGATTTATCAAAAGATAATAAAACTTCCATGACTTGGTACTCGAAGAAAGATTAAATCTACTTCTCTGAAAAGTAAATATGTTAGTTTATTAGCCATAAAATTATAATATGATTATTTAACTTAATAACTGCCATCTAAACAAAAAATTAGTTATGTTTTTGTTTTTTCAACCTCTTTATGGTTCAACATTATTGATATTATGATGTAATGCATTGGAAATACGCCATGGATTGTCAGCAAGAACATTTCTCTATTTACTTGAGAATCCACTTTAAATGTAACTTTAAAGATGAAGCCTCCTTTGATTGAATTTCATACCGATGCAGAATGTCTAAAAATCATATATAAAACTCCTCACTATGGCGGTATATGATATCTAGTATCACTTGGCAAATTATATTCCAAAGTCAATACATAAAATGGGTGAAAAGGTTTTGCATTGCAGATAACTCAATGGTTCTCAACCAGCGTCAAAGAATCCATGTGCGGTTGGCAAAAACTTGAAAAACAGTAAATTGTCTTTAGAGAGACTCGAAATATCACAAACGTTTTGAGTTACCCCCCCCCCCCCCCAAAANTTCCCCCCCCCCCCCCCAAATAGTTTCAAGCTCGTTCTTAGGTATTAACTTATATGCTGAGTTAAATACTGATATACTATTGTTTGAACATCTTTGAAGCATCTGAATATCCCTTTGAGCTTGAATGATCTGTTCTCCTGCCTCGAAATAAATAATAGACACTGTGATAATAATAATTTTATAATAAGACTTTCACTATTCCATTTTATCTATTTGTCTAATATTTTTTACTACTGTACTGAAAAAAGTCTGAAGTACTGCATTATGAAGACTGTAAAACCTCCTCGCATTCAGGTCTATAAGGACATAACTATGTGCACATATTTAAAAACCTTTTGAAAAGGAAATTCAATTGATTGAAACATAATTTCGGTGCTTTGGAGGTCACTGATTATTTTCAGAGTGAGTTCATGGCAGAATAGCTTCATATCCATATTCAGTGTATCCAAAGGAATATTAATCAAAATTTAGAATTTCCTATTTTTTTGCTAATGAAAAGACGGGGAATTAAATCTAATATTAGGATAGGATTTATCACTCATAAAAACCCCAGATTGTTAATAGTGTTAGTTAATCCTGAATCAAATTCGTTATCCAAATTCACATTTCTGAGTGTGAAAATAAGGAACAGAACTGATGGATTTTTACTCAAGTTTACTAAAGTTCAGGATGAGTGTGAACATTAGTGCACATAAATAGATGAGAGTGACTCCATAATGGCACAGCAGAATATTTTCACGTTCAAATCTGTGGAAGTATTGTAAGCCCGGTCAACAAGATCTGAAAAAGAAACGATTAGTAACATGTAAACAATGTAATCAGATCATCACGAGACTTGTTTCATTTGGATTTACGAGCATTGAGTTGGACCTATATTCATAAATGAAAGAGTTCACGTTACGATCTCCTTGTGTTCAATCTCCCCCCCCCCTGTTAGGTTGACTTTATTCCCTTGATGGCCAGACAATTTCCATTAATTTTTTTCAGATTAGGAATACGAATATAGCTATTGATGTTTCATCTAAGAGTGTGGGAGATCAAATGAGCAAAAGGAGGAAACAAACTTATTAGCCAAGGTTATTTCAGGAAGTTTAAAAGCCTACAAACAAAAGAATCTGTTCAAAATGGACACATGTTGTGAGTAATTAAAGACTACTCAACTTTCCCTTTTAAATCATATGCGCATATTTTTCCGTCGATCTCTATCAATTAATTTTTAAAGTTTTCTTGAGAGGTTCTTTTAAAAAATACTCGTTCAAACCCATTCTATTAAATTTATTAGTTAATCGTCATTATTTTTACTTTGGTTAGTTAATGCATCTGAACAATCATTATGTAAAAGTTGCCCAATTTTGAATTCTGCTCCATAGAGTACAATTTCCCAATCCTACGAAACCCACTATCTCAGCTTGCAACTTTAAAAGTAATTCTCGCACGAAATGCAAAAAATTAATATTCGACTAAGTACGGCATGTAAACAAAACTGAACTATTTCATGCCTTTAAGTACAAATTGAAATCGCTTCAAACACTCATCTTAGAAATCGCGACAGTTAAGGGACTCGAATTCTTTTATCAGCCAAACTCAATTCACTGGATGGGCATCATTGGGCAACAAATTGAGACACCTGACTCCCCAAACGGTCACGCTAATCTCTGCATTTTCTTGAACTGCTCATGACTTCATCATAGAATCTGCAGACTTGAGTCTTGCATGCCAGTTCTTAATGGGGGTATATTTCCCTAACGATTATTTTGCTGTTGAACTAAATGGCGTGCAAATAACTTACCACGTTCTTGAAATTTGAACTAGGCAGACACCTCTACAAAAAGTAGTTTATAACCACCCTGCAGATGATAATTTCAGCTCATAAGTCACTGTTCGAATAAACGACTATATTATTGCATTTACTGCTAGCACGCTTTTATTAAAGCCAGTTTCCATTTTAGCGAATGAACAAAAAACACTACTTTGGCCCATCTACCAATGAAATCAGTACGTAAAAGTAGCAAACACGAGACAAGCTTCCCTAAGTATATGAGACGGTGTCTAAAGTCATATTTTGAAATATAGACTCGATGTAAATTCTCAGTGCATATTAATCCCGAAGTAACTTATTTTCAATACAATTTAAAAGATTTTACCACTTATTATTATTGGCATTATTTCAAATGGCAGGCTTTATGATGTTTATCATTAGCCCCAGAAGTCAACTGTCGAAAATAGGTTTTTTGCGTATGAGTGTACGTTGCCCAGGGTCCACCACGTGGAGGTAAGTCTATCGCACACTCATTTTTTCCACTTCTAAACTGATCAAACTGTGCCATCATTACCAAACAATACTGCTTAAGGGTCGAAATAATTCGTTCGCAAAAAGCATCTATGAATGAATTCAAATCACACGGAGATTAAGATTTTATCAATAATTAATTGCCTATTACCCCCTCTCTCCTGGGCAAAATTCCCATGAGGCATAGTCGCTATTACACCACAGAAGTGAAGAAGCTTTTCTGAATAAAAAAATAAAAAAGATATCGTTTTCGAAGTGGGTGCTATAAAGCAAAAATTTGAAACGTCGATAAGGCTTGCTACCGAAGTAGTTCTAGAGACACATTTTTTGAAGAAATAATAGAAATGAAAGGTGGAGGTGCTAAACGGGGTAATTTGAGCGGTTTATTGTTTTATAAAGCGTAAAATCTAATCTGATTTTAGTTTTGGCACATAAATACAACCTGCAATATTTATTCTTAATATCCGCGATGAAATTCTGAAGGTGAAGAAAAATGCACTGCCATGTTATCTTTTCAAATTGTACATTTTGAGATACAACACTTTTGATGGTCATGTTTTAACTGTATGTCTTAATAATGAGAGGCCATTGAATAGCGTATGGAAGGTTGAGGGTGGGGGGGGGGGGGGGGGGGGGGGGGGGACAATGCTGACGTGGTAAAACTGACGAATTCCATTGGCGTTAGAACATTTTGGAAAGTTACCCCGTAGTTACCCCGTTTAGCATGATGCTAAATGTACTGAGGAACAAATAAGGTCACGAGTGCAGATACCTCTCAGACAATCAGTAATCAATAGTTACGTCATGGCCAACTTATCCGAAATTGCAATTAATGACTAAGCTCTGCGCCAGTTACAACTAACGCCATACGTCTGTTTCCTCTGGAACCTTGGGGGTAACTTAGTTAACTTAGGGATCTTGCCGTAGGGATTACTGAGCATAAGTCCAGGCTTATTGAAGTTACGAAACGCTATAATGGCATTAATGCCAATGGTCATAAGATTCCAACATGTGGATTAATTCCATGGCGAACAGGATTTTAATACATTAAATATAAATTATAAACGGACTATAACCAAGTAATACAAATTTCGTTCCATCAAATTGTGACATATTATACCACAATCTACTGTCATATAGTATTTATTTATTTATTTATATCAAAATTGGAAGGCGTTTTGATAGTTATCATTAGCCCTTTAGTTGACTTCAGTCTTCACAGAGGGGAAGGGACATCAAGGCGAAAAAAGTTGACATGGGGAACAGAAGAGTGCTTCAAAGATGTAAAAGGGAGGCCGACACAAAGGTGGAGAGTAGGGTAAGGTGAGTGCTGTGAAAGGGGTCGAATATGCCATACAGTGGGGTGATGGTAGTTTAAAGTCAGA